TCCTTAAAAAACAAAAACAAAGCCAGAGGTATCATACTCCCTGATTTCAATGTATACTATGAGACGACAATAATCAAAACACCATGGTATTGGCAGAAAAACAGACACACAGAGCAATGGAATAGAATTGAGAACCCAGAAATAAACCTACACACATATGGGAAGATAATTTTTGACAAAGGAGCCAAAAACATACAATGGAGAAAAGAAAGCCTCTTGAATGAATGGTGCTGGGAAAATTGGAAAGCCAAATGCAAAAGACTGAAACTAGACTGCTATCTGTCACCATATACCAAAATTAACCCAAAATGGATCAAATACCTAAACATAAGACCTGAAACAATAAATTGCATAGAAGAGAGCATAGGTACTAAACTTATGGGCCTTGGGTTCAGAGGGGATTTTATGAATTTTACCTCAAGGACAAGGGAAGTAAAAGCAAAAATAAATAAATAGGATTATATCAAACTAAAAAAGTCTTCTGCATAGCAAAAGAAACCATTAGCAGAACAAAGAGGCAACCAACCAAATATGAGAAGATATTTGCAAACAATACCTCCAAAACAGGACTGATATCCAAAATATACAAAGAATTATTCAATAAATGCTGTTTAAGCTATGGGTTATCCATATGAAAACCAAATTACATCTCTGAATTCCAGTACATAAATTTCAGATGTATTGAAGACATAAATGTGAAATACTTGTAGGATATTTAGAAAGAAACAGAGTATCTTGAGCCTCAATGTAGGAAAGGATTTCTTGAAGGAAACGAAGAACAAACTTTAAAGAAAAGAGAAACTTATCAAAATTAAGAACTTAGATATAAAAGAGGATTCTAGAAATAATGAAGAAAGGAGATATCTGTGACCCATATAATGTCAATGGATTAGCCTCTAGGATCCATAAAGGTAACAGTTCATCGCAAGACCTCTGTGCCATGTTGGAGAATTTTAGATGTGTTCTTATAGGTGACGATTTCTTGGCTTTAGTATTATTGACATTTTAGGTTGGATAATTCTTTGTTGTTAGGGGCTGTTCTGTGTATTGTAGGATGTTTAACAGCATCCCTGGCCTCTACCCACTAAACACCAGTAGCACCCATTCATAGTTGTAAGAAACAAAAATGTCTCCAGACATTGCCCACTGGGCCATCTTCATTACTTCAGTATACATCCCACATAAAGAAATTCAAAGTGTTGCACTTTAATGTCAATACTGTAGCAAAAGCTGCCAGTGTGTACCCAGATCCATTTTTACCAGGCTGATGTACCCATTCCCAAGGTGCTAGGAGTGATGGCTGCTCAGTGTTCACAGCTGCATTCACAGCTGCATGCAGAAAACTACCCTTGGCCAACAGAAGCCAACTCACCCAGAGATGCTTGAGACAGTCCACGGCCAGTGACCCAATGAGACAGGGTATAAAGGCCAGCTTTCTCGCCCCAAAGTGGGACATCTTTGTGGTGCCATTAATGCCCCCAGAGAACATCTCATGATGCCCATTACTAAGTTCTATTGACTCTCCTTCCTAATATCTATCTTCCCCCCCCCCCTTAGGATTGCTTTGGCTATTGGGAGTCTTTTGTGATTCCATACAAGTCTGATGATTTTTGTTCTATTTCTTGAAAAAAAAATACCATTGGGATTTTGATGAGGGTTGCATTAAATATGTATATTGCTTTGGGTGATATGGCCATTTTAACTGCATCGATTCTTCCAACGAGTAACTGTTCTTTAGTTTGGATCTCATATACAACACAGTTACTGAGCTGCCTTAAGATTCTCTGTCTATAGATTCTCTTGAATTTTTTTACTTAATCTTATTGCCTGTAACAGTTGTTTTCTTTTGCAATACTTACTCCTAATTTTTTTGTCTCAGTGTACTGGCTCTGATCTCTGGTATAGTTTTGAAAATTGGATGTCTTCACCTTGCTCATGGCTTTAAAAGACATTGCCTTGAATGCTTCACATTTAAATATGACTTTTTTTCTTTCTAGATTTTGGGCAGATGCTTTCTATTAGGTTAAGGAAGCTCTATTCAATGGATGGTTTTCTAAGTTTTTAACATACCTCATGGGTGGTACCAAGCCATTTATAACAGAAGGCAGCTTTGCTTTTTTTGTTTGTTTCTTTTTTTGTTTGTTTTTAGCTGAGCCATCTTGCCACCTGTTGGCAGCTCAGTGGCAGTTCAGCTCGGGCCGGGAATCGAACTGCTGTTGCTCAGAGCTCACACTCTTGAGCGAGCTCTTAACCAACTGAGCCACTCAGCTGGCCCTGCAGCTTTATTTTTTAAGCCTGCCCAGTCTTCTTGGAGGACTTGTTTTATTTGGAGATACAGCTGGAAAGCCAGCCTCCATCTTTGAACCTGACTTCTTTTCACCCCTAGCCTTGCTCGGCATCTTTCAACAAAATCCATTTAACTTAAATCAGCTTTGATTTGTATGCCGTTCACTTTTCAGAGATTAGCCCAGTCACAGAAAGATCTTAAGGGCCTTAAAAATCACTTCCAATTATTTCACAGATAGTTTAAGACAGATAAAAGTCAAAGTCAGAAGCCCAACTATAATTGTGGTCAACCCATAAAGCCCAGGATAAATCTCTCTTAAGATTCTTGAAAGGAAGTACGAACATACGTCAACTTTCCATTCTCCTCCAGGCCTTATCTAACTCTTCAGTCAATGAAGGAGCTAGTCCTGCAAAAATACTAACACAATGTACTCCAAAGCTTCCAAGTGGCTGCAATGGCTGGAAGAGGATTTGAGTGTGCATTCTCACACTTGTGAAGAAACTACTTCCATAAAAGAAAAGACCCCTTGAAGCATTGTTAACTATTGTGGGTAAACAAAGGCTCAGCAAAAATAATCCCTGGAGTCTTATAACAATGAAATTACATTTCAGTGTTCTTTCCCATCCTTTTTCTGGGGAAAAAACTAGGTTGAATAGTTGGCTTTTCCTTTGTTTCTTTCATTCTTTCTTTGCCATAGTTACAGGGTGATACTTCATATTTTAGTCTTTTTTTCTCTTTCACAACAATTAAGAGGGAAAATAATTCTTCATACTGCCTCAAGACAGACTGCATTAGTATTGTGCCTGGGAAGAAAATGGCTAGGTTCTGGGAGAAGAGTTTTTCTCCCCTCAAAGTACCTGTGTTGTTGGAGGGTTTCTCATCAGCCAAAAAACAATATTTGACTATTTTATCCTGAGTGCTATATATACTTTCTGAAAATGTCAGCACATCTTATGTAGGCAGCATGCCTTGAGTGAATGTCTATCTCCCTGGGTGTCACCAATTTACCTGTAAAGTCTGACACCTTTTCGAGAGTCATTTAAAAAGCCACAGATTGCTTGTTGTTTAAGCACCGCAAAGCATGTATCTGAGCTTTAACATTTTTTTCAATCCTAAAAAGCAATACATCTATTGTGTACTCTGAAAGTTATACAAGCATCCACAATATCCCTCATCCACACATGTGGTGGTTGGGGTAGGGATGTTTAGGGAAGAAACATTGTTCCAAGGAGGCAAAGCTAAAGGCCAATTTGGCAGTGGGGTAGGGCCACATCCAATTTTCCCACTCACCTTTATTAAAAGCAGCTGGTTAAATGCCTTGTAGTAGGCAGGTAAGGTTATTTAAAAAGCAATTCTCATTGGCCTTCCCCTTTGGATTGTTTTCTACATAAATCAGTTATTTAACATATTTCCTTTCTTTGGTAACTAGAAAGGTATTTGCCTTTCTGATTTTTTCACTTTGATACCTTTATTAGTATCAGAAAGAAGTTAGGTCTAGAGTGACATTAAAATGAAAAGTGCTCTTCTGCCCATTTTTCTAACAAAAACAAAAAGCTCTTATAGATAAACTTCACACTTTGGTTATGTCAAAAAAATGTGACTTCTATATTCTCTAGTAGCAGATATAGCAGATCAGAGATCCCTCAAAAAACACATTATAAACACAAATACATGTTCAACCTGTTGCCGTAAGTTTTCTTCTCCCAGGAAACCTCCACGCACCTACCACTTACGTCATTTTTTAAATAGCTGTTAGGGAAGCTTCTTGATACACAAGACTTCCTTGAGAAGTGTAAGGCTGTGGCCAGTTATGTCCCCTTTCTTGCTTTTCCTTTGTTAATAGCTGCAGAGTGCGGTAGTAATACTGTCTTTAGCCACACTTAGAGCTATAGCACAGGAAAATAAATTCCTTTCAAATTATCTCCTTTATTTTATTGATTTTTAACAAGGAACCCCAAAACTATATACTGCATGTAATGGGCTTGAAACATTAGGAGCAGAAGGATGTGAGTTTAAAATGCTCGTTTCTGAGGTAAAACAAATCATTCCCAGTGCCTCCTTTTTGCACATCCTCTGCCATTCTTTTTCCCCACTCCCTCCCAACCAACAACCCTATTCCTAGCAATGAATAACAGAAAGTGATGTTGCTAGTCTTAAATCAGTGTTAAATCACACACAGCGTTCACTAGTGAGAGAAAGACTAAGTTTAAAGAAAAAAGGAAAGCAACTTCCCTTTGGAAGGTTGCTGAGGTTAAGGGAAACCTCAGAGTATCGACTATCTTTACAACTGTGAAAACTTTCAATTTTGAGAAGAAAAAAAAAATCAGTGGGTTGGTGTAGCCTTCAATACTGCTCGACTTCCTTTTCCTTTAATCTTTTAAACTGCTACCATCTAACTCGGATGCCCGCTCAGCAGCCCTTGGTAACCAGCCCACCTCAAGCAAGCTAAGGGCCAGCTGGAAAGCAGAGCAAAAACGCCCACGGCCCCGCCTCCGTCTTTAAGCAGCACCAGTAGAAGGCGCGGCCGGGCGTGGGGCGCTGGACGCCACGCCCCCTCGAGGGGCGGGGCTGCTTCCCCGCCACTTCCTTCCAAGAGACCGGGGAAGGGGCAGACCCTACATGACGTAATCCAGAAGGCCCGCCCTGGTTGGAGGGAATTCAGAAGGGATCAGGGCGGGAAAGAGGCGGGGTCTAGTTTCCCTGGTGACGGGTTGGCCTGTCGGTCGCCTGGTAACGGGCCGCGGCGGTCCTGGCTGCAGCTGCGCAGGCCGCTGAGCTCTGTGGGCCGGAGCCCACGCTGGACTCTTTCTGTTTGTGTTTTGCGATGGCGGCCGCCGCGGCAGTGGTCACGCCGTCGGGTGTGGAAGATGGGGTGTCTCGTTCCCGCGGCGAAGGGGTGGGGGAGGTGGTCGTGGAGCGGGGGCCTGGCGCGGCCTACCACATGTTCGTGGTGATGGAGGACCTGGTGGAGAAGCTGAAGCTGCTCCGTTACGAGGAGGAACTCCTCCGGAAGAACAACCTGAAGCCCCCGTCCAGGTGGGTGCCCTGGTCCCCGGCGCCCGGGTGCTGGCTGGGCCCTGAGAAGCGGCCCTCCTCCGGCCTTCCGGGGAGCGCCTAGCGCGGGTTAGCAAGCGCTTGCCTTCACCGCCTAGTCGGGAAAGGGCACTTCATCCCAAAGTCGGCGACGGAGGGCCGTGGAGCTCACGGAGTTCATACTTGGTATTTTAGTAGAGAGAGACAAGTTTTGGAACAGCAGAAAAGACTGGAAGACAGCTTGCCTAGTCTTTAAAGCACACACCTCCACAAATCACAAACTTTTTTCTGGTTATAAAACTAATAAAAGTACCTATTGCAGAGAGCTCAGAAAAACACAAGAAAATGTGTATAAAAATGCTAAAGTCACCCATAATCTCATCCCCAAAGACAAATGCCATTGTCATTTTAGATCTCTCTAGTTTTTGTTTTCCTCTGCATGAACCTGTCCCTTCAGCTGGTAACCATGGGTACCTAGGGCCTTGCTGAGCACTTTTTATGCAGTTAGTAAACTTGTTACCTAATTGCTCTGGTTTAAAGAAGTTCTGCCTTTGCCATAACAGTACTCTTAGAGACTGAGAAGTGGAAAAGACAAATGAAATGACAACTGTAGGAACTGTCTCTTTACCATAGAGCCTAAAGTTCTGCCCGAGCCATTAGTTGCTGAGGATAATGGACAGCTGGCACTTTCTCTTCCAATCAGTGTAGCTTAGCATGGAGAGAAAAGTTTTATAGCTTTCCCTTTACATTAATACATACTTACATTTGTTTATTGTGTAAGAGACCATTTAGATTAAGAATCTGTATTTCTTTCTCTTAATGGCTATAACTAGGCTCAAATAATTTCTCTTGACGATTTGGATCTCATTCCCTGCTCTCTTCCGGTAACTTGAATTATAAGCTATGTAAGCTTTTTGTAAACAGTCCGTATTGTTAAATCAGTCCACAATAGGAGAAACGTTAGAGGAAAAAGTACTGTTGCTTAATCCAAGATGGAAATTGTAGGCTTGGGAGTTATTACTTAAATGAATTAATCAGGATAATATAAACAACCAATATTTGCTGTGTTGATAAAAAACGATTTTTTCCCAAATATATTTTTCAAACTAAAAGAAAATGGCCTTCAGGTCCTATTGATATAACCTCTGTACTATTTCCTCAGGAGTTCAGCAGGATAGTTTGAATAACGAATTTGTGTGGCGGTGTCTTAGTTTAATGGTTCTTAAAGTGTGGTTATCAGGCCAGCAGCATCAGCATCACCTCGGAATTTATTTGAAATGCAGTCACACAGGACCTGTCCCAGGTCTACTGTATCAGAAATTCTAGGGGGTGGGGCCTAGAAGTCTGTTTTAATAAGTCCTCCAGGTGGTTCTGATGCATGCTAAACTTTGAGAGTCACTATCCCAAGTCTACAGAATGTGTTGGTATTCAATCCTTTATCTTGGATTTATCAGCCAATAAGAAAAAGATGAGTTGTTACCAGTAGGTGCATGGAAAGGGTTGTAAACCTACCTGCCACGTCTTCATGGCCTTTTTTTTCTTACCAACTTTCTGTTATCTTCTACGACATTTACATTTATCCTGCAAGAAAGAAATTGGGAAACATGAGTAGACTGCTGATTTTTATGGAAAAGAGCTATAATAGCTATAAATACAACTATGAACATAATAGCTACATGTAAAAAGCAAAATAAGATCTTTAGTCAAACTGACTTGAATGTTGCTAGCAAATTTTATTCCTAACATATTTAGGTATATATCGTATTGATCCTCATAGGATTATTTTTAGTAGACTAGAGGAGTTAGCAAAAGTCAACAAATGTTTGTTAGATTTGGGATGTGATACTCAGTGGTTCTTAATCCTGGCTACACCTTGGAACCATCTAGGAAACTTGAAACATACCTGTACTGGGGCTTCACTCTCAGAAGTTCTGATTTAATTGATGAAGAAACTGTTTGGCAATGGTTTGATGAGCTCCTCAGTTAATTCAAATATGCAGCCAAGATGAGAACAAATGTTTAACTTAACTGATAACAGTAAGTAAAGATACCAATGACATTGTAAAAAATGTAGAAATGCATAATGAATAATCATTAAGGTCTTCTTTTAAACTCTGATTTTCTTGGTTTCAAATTACATTTTCAGGAAGTACTCTCTGATTATTCCTGATACACAAATTGTTTTGGCAAAGGTTCTTTTCTATATGCTCAGTTTTTTAACATGCCCTGCATTTTTTGGATATAAGGTCTTTGATCTAATATTTTTTGTACAGTGGTTATAGTCCTAATCCTGTTGATTAAAAGCTTTAATGGGAGTGCTGTGGATTATTAGAAATTTCAAAGAGTGAGTTATCAATGTCTTTTTATTTTAAAGCCATTTGGAAAAAAAGTCTTGACAAAATTGGACTTAGCTCCTTTAGTTACTATAGACTTCCCAATATTTCCACCCTCCCCTCTTGTTTTGAAACAGACACTATTTTGCACTGCCTACCAACCCTGGTGAACAGTTCTACATGTTTTGTACTCTTGCTGCTTGGTTGATTAACAAAGCAGGACGCCCCTTTGAGCAGCCTCAGGAATATGATGACCCCAATGCAACAATATCTAACATATTATCTGAGCTTCGATCATTTGTAAGTGTAAACAACTCTATTTTCTGCATGCTCTCAAGTTATAAATTTTAATGCTGGTAATTTGACAACATAGATGCTAGCCTTTTAGATGAGTTCTCTGTGAATAACTATATCTATCTATATACATACATACATATATAAATTTATATCTGCATTTATTTTTAGATAAAACATCAGAATGATTGATAGTATAACAATGCCACTTCTAAAAATGTCCAAGTATACCCTTTATAGCCCAAAGTAATAATATTTTTCTTAATCTTGATATGTCCCAGGGGTAAATTTATGGATACTCAGTTCTTCTCTAAAAAATGATTTTAAAAAAGGAAGATGAAACACTGTATTTTGAAAGAAAATTTTGGTTTAATAGACCATGATATCAGTTGTACTTTTCATTTCGGACTTTTCCTGGGTACTTTTCATTTCTAACTTTTTCTGGGGCTAGGCAGTACAAATTTTGGGCACACCTGTTATTAATTTTTGACAAGTGATTCACTCTGTCCTTCATATGGTTGTTTGATGATATGGTACCAAGCTAGTAGTTTTACTGGTTTTTACATTAACAATATCAGTGATTTGTTCTGCTGTCATGAGGTATTACTGCTTTTTGATACTTTTGACAATAAAATGTCTTCATTGTCCTTTAGTTTTTTATGAATCAGTGGATTAAAAAAGACTGAAGAGCCGAATTTTTAAGAAGCCATGTAATTGCAGTTATGTTAAATCATTTGAAAAACAGAGAAATGATGAATTTATTCAGCAATACTTAAAATATTTTGACATTTGGAATATAAATAATAATATCCTGTTTATCTTTTGTATTTCAGGGGAGAACTGCAGATTTTCCTCCTTCAAAATTAAAGTCAGGTTATGGAGAGCATGTATGCTATGTTCTTGACTGTTTAGCTGAAGAAGCATTAAAATATATTGGTTTCTCCTGGAAAAGGTAAAAATTACCCAAACTGGCAATAGTACTTTCATGTGCATAGCTTTTTCTTTTAAGGGTTCAGAGCTACTTCATTGAACAGATAAGAAGTATTTCCTCTTGACTATTCTAAACTGAAAATGTCACAGGTGATTAGAAAAGTCAGTATTCACAAAATTGGAATATCTTGTGTCTTTAAAACCAATTCTGATATTATTGTGCCTTTGCCAGTTCATATATATCATTATTAAAGATTTAGCTGTAACTGTATATTGTTGTCAATTTAGGAAAGTTTTTTAAAGTCTCTTCACATATATTTATTTATAAACACAAACATGGTATATACATGTGGATAACTGATAGTTGCAGATTTAAGGGAAAAAAATGGAAATTAATATCATACTTGAAATGGGATTTTTCCCTTTGCTTAAAGTGACTGGGCAAGAAAAATACTAAAGAAGCCTACTGACACTCTCTTAGACATCGTTCATTGCTTCTTTCTCTGACCTGACAGTGATTTGTTTTTATTTCTATTACTGTATTTATCCCATGGTATTAAAGACATGTGTTTAGAAGTCTGGCTTTCTTGCTAGAAATTGTGAAATCTTCATGTATACTGTATGGCTGTTAGCATAGCAGTTGGTATATCATAGATGCTCAATAAATGGGTGAGGAAATAAAATATTCAGAAACTGTCTATTTGTATAGGCAATAATTAGAAAAGATATAAAATTTGGTCCTTTGAAGATTGGGATTATTGATAGGTTAGACATTGTGAAAGGCTTTATTCAGGTAAAACATAAGCAAGCAGTGATTTTGATTAGAACTAACTTCTGTAGAAATGTGTATATATTATTTCCTGTTAATAAGTTTAATGTGTATCCAATTACATACTTTTAGGTAAATAACCTATTCCCTATTAATAGGTACTTTAAAAAACTTACCCTACTTGGATTATCATCTGGTTGAATTTTATAAAATTACTGATATTTATTTTTGAACTAAAAAATAACAATTTCAATATTTCAACCCAAACATTACCATTTAATGCAATATAAAGAATGACTACATGATCCACATTACTTCTTTATTAGATTCCAAGAAAAGTTATGAGATGTGCTGCTCCATTTAGTATTTACAAAATTTTTTAAATCTATTGCCCAATGTATTCTAAATTCATCAGGAGCTATTGGTATCTCAACCACAGTTTAATTTTGTACTTCCTTTATTTCTGGACATATCTTATTCTTTGCCATGTATTGTGATTTTGATAATTTATAAGGACTGTATATACATGGGGAAGAAAGAGGGGTGAAAAACATTCAAAATAGACTTTAGAGAATAATAAATCAGCTATGTAATCTGTAAATTACATAGAAGTTACGTATTTATAGATAATTATTTTATATATCTAAATATGCCAAAAGAAGTCCTAGAATAACATTGCTTTTAAGATACTATCTCATTCTAATTAATGAAAAATAGGAAATTCTTTAAGAAGATGGATTTGGTTTGCAAATTTGGTTCTTAATATTAAATGTTGATTTTTATATTTTGTTAACGTGTCTGAAATATGGATTTTTAAAGTAAGTTTCCAGAAGTAAACCCAAATACTTTGGGGTAATTTTAATATGGGAAATACATGTTGTTAACTTTGATGGAGAGATGAGTGTTCAGTACTCAGTGTTAGGACCATAAGAAATACTGGAAATAAGAATAAAGTTAGAGCTCTTCTTATTATCTCTATCAAAATAAATTTCAGATTGATCCAAGATGTGAATGTGAAAAGTGAAACTATAGGAATACTAAAACACCAAAATAGTGCGGGATGTTTTGTGATGTTAAAGCTAGGATCCATGCAAGAAAAGGTTGCCCAATCAATGTAACAAGAATTGTAACAGTCCTGAATAGCCAAGATTATAAGTAATAAATTAGGAAAATATTTTTAGTACATGTTAGGCCATGTATTAATTTTCTTAATACACAAAAGGCGTAAATAACCATTTCCCTGAAAAAGAAACACAAATGCCAATTAAAACATGAAAAGATGTTCAAGTACTCTCCTGTGAAAGAATGCAATTAAAACAAGAATGAGATATTTTCACTTAAATGATGGGCAAATAAAATAAAAACTTGAGTTCAAAAAAAAAAAGACATGGCACAAAGACAAATACCTTATACTAGTTAATATTTTAATACATTAATAAATGCATCACCTATTAAAAAAAAAGTTTGTTTGCCATATTGGTGAACATATGTAAATGTTGTCACTGTTGTTTGTTGGGAGTGTAAATTAGGGTAACATTTTAGAAGTTGGTTTTGTCAATATCTAGCAAAATAATAAAAGGTACAAAGTTGTTGACTCAGCCATTCTACTTGTACAAATTTATTCTAATGATATACATAGTGATAAATGTATAGTGATGATCTTTGCAATATTACCTAATTAAAAAAAACAACCTAGAAATAACCTCAATGTTCAGCTAGAGGTTGTTAGTTAAGTTAATATTTTGGCACTGCTCTAACTGGAATACATGCATTGATAAAAGAAATGAGAAAGATGTATAAGTGTTTAAATGGGATGTATTAGTAAGTGAAGAAAGTACATTGGATAATGGTATATCCCATTTGTGTAAATTTATTCTTTAAATTTAGAGGTAAATGTTTTTGCTTCTTTATATAGAAAGTTTCAGGAAGCATACATGAAGCATTTAACAGTGATTATGGAAGAGGTGAAAAAGGACCAGATCTGTTGTAGAGGAGATCCTCAATATTCACATTATGCCTTTTTGTCCTGCTCAAATGTTTTTAACTTTCATCTCATATTAGGCTTTATTATTTCAGACCAACATACCCAGTAGAAGAATTAGAAGAAGAAACTGTTCCAGAAGATGACGCAGAATTAACATTAAATAAAGTGGATGAAGAATTCGAGGTATGAGTGTTACAAAACTTACTGCTCATTTTCAACTTTTGGATTTCTTTTCCTTCTCTTAATTCCCCCAGTCTCCCATTTTTTGGAATATATTTTATTTAATTTTGTCAGAGAAGAAAAGCTTTTAAATAGGGTACCAAGCTCAGTTGTTTAGACCTTCAGTTAAGTTAATGCTCATGTTCTCTAATGGTTGAGGTCTGAATTTTAGCAGAGGTTCTGAAACTGTAGACAGGAGATAGTAGACCACTAGTTATATGAGTAAACATTTTATTAACAACCATTCATGATCTTAAATAGGCCATAAATAATAAAGAATTTAGAACAGAACAGTAGAATTTAGGATTAATATATTCTGCTTCATAAGAACACCATTTCTCAGGAACTCCGTTCATTATGCTTCTAAAATTAGGATGAGCACTAATTTAAGAACTTTAAAATTTTAAATGTAGGAACTTTAAAATATACTTATAAATACCAACATTATTTAAATTGGTTGGCAGCTTTTTCCCATTCTAAATATCTTATCTACAGTGTGAAGCTAAATGATCAAGTCTCTACAAAAGATTCGACTAGTAAAATGGTAGAAACAAAGAGCTCTTTCTCAGAACCAGAGACGGATGAACCCTGATGTTTTAGGAAGTATAGATACCTGAAATTAAAATGGCAGGGGAAAAACTATAGTGTATTTAACTTCATAAACCATTAAATTTTCCAGGTGATTTTTAAAATTAATATATAATAAGTATATTCTATATTTCAGTTTAATATATTAAACTCCTATATGGTTCAAAGATATAAATTAATCACTGCATTCTTTTATAGCAAATGCTGGAAATAAACATTAAAGAGCTTAGACTGTATCCAAATAAAATATGATGTGTCCATTAAAAATTGTTTTTAAGAATTGTTTGTAAGGAGTACAAACTTCCGGTTATAAAGTAAGTCACAAGTACAGCATGGGGAATACAGTTAATAATATCATAATAACTATACAGTGAGAGATGATTACTAGACTTACGGTGATCACTTCATAAGACATATAAATGTTCAATCATTATAAATGTTACCCTAATTTACACTCTCAAAAACAGTGACTACATTTACATATGTTCACAAATATGGTAAACAAACTTTAATCTTTGCTAAGCATTTAAGTGAAAATATCTCACTCTTATCTTAATTGCATTCTTTACATGTACACCTGAAACTAATATAATATTGTATGTCAGTTATAATTAAAACTCAATTTTAAAAACCCTATCCCCCCAAAAAAAAGAATATATACCACTAGGTACATATAATCAAATTACTAGGTTTTGCAGTCATGTGAAATGAAATACCAGTACTTCTTCACTGTATGGTTATGGCACAAGCTGAATATACATTTTTCTAATAAATAGAGACTAGTTCATTGAAAAAATTGTTTACAAAAAAATTTTAGTTGACATGGGGATGATAACATACTATATGCATAAACTCAACCATGTAAATATGCAAAAAAAATCAGTATGTTAATATTAGTTGTATATGGGTAGAAGGATTATGAATAATTGTCTTTCCTATGCTTCTTTGTATTTTCAAAATATTTAATGTTTTTTATCAGCAATATAAATATTTTAAACCATATATGTAAAAAATATGACATTTATACAGAAATATGTTTATAGAAGGAAAATATATCTTTGTCAAAATATATCTTTGTTAGTGTGATACATTTTAAAAGTTAAGGTAAAAATACATTCATTTATTCTACATGTGTTTATTGAATATCTGTTATGTAGCAGGCACTGGGCAAGACCCTGATGGTACAGCATGTGCAGAGCTCTGAGGCAGGAAGGAGCTTAGCATATCAAGGAACTGAGAGAAAACCTGTGTGGTCAGGTCTGAGCAAGGTGGCGAGTGGCTTAAGTTGAACTGGGAAGATAGACCAGGTCCATATCATTTTGGGCATTTTTAGGAATTTTGACTTTATTTTTTGTAATAAATCTTTCTATTTAGGTTCAGAAAATTTTAAGACCTCACATATTCCCAATTGTTCACCTTATTTATTTTACTCAGGTATATTTCTCATCTTGTCATCTTAATAACTGTCTATTAGTAATTAGTTTATTGACAGGTACCTGGTCCTAGTGCGTTGACATTTAGCTTTAAAGACACATAACTCTAACCTGCCAGTTCAGTAAAAAAAGCATAAAAACCTACTAGTCAGAAAGATAACTCTATGAGGGTAGAACCAATTTGGGTTTTCTCTCTTTTTTTTTTTTAAATCTCCAGTTAATTATGTGTGCAGTTCCTGGTGCATAGTAGGTGTTCATTAAATATTTGACCACAAAATCATCTTTCAACACATTGCAGTGTAACTTTTAGAAATTATATTGGGTTGTCGGAAAAATAATGACACATTTTTACAACGAAAAACGTAGAAAAAATACGTCATGACTTTTCCAACAACCCAAGAGCTATTTTTTTTTCCTGAGAACTCTTTAAAATTCAAAGCAGCATTATTAGGTATGTAAATTAGAGAAACAAATTACAATAGAAAGCAGTCTCATTGCACATTTCTCCCCAACTCTGAGGTAAAGACCTTCTACTGTCATAAGACCAAAGGGTTGCTTTTCCTTCACTGTCATCATATTATTCTAAGGGGTCCTTTCTTACCTCTCCCATTCCTCTGGCTAAGGAGAACAGGACCAGTGCTAAAATGCCTTTGGATGATGAGATATTACTTCATTTTGTTGTCAGAGTTTGTGGATTGGCTCAAGGATGGTAAAAATCATTTCTGACAGAGTCAAGTTCTGTTATAATCATCTAGAAACTAGAAAACTTCAGTTTTAGACTGGCCAAATCATGATAGGACACATTGATAACTGTTAAAAAAAGAAAAATAAGTATGGGTCAGGGCACAGATATTCTCACCTACTGTATATAATCGTATCCTTAGTAATTGGCAGTAAGAGAAGTAAGAGCGTGCATATTAGGCAAAGAAATGATAGGAAATTGTTGAGTGGCCTCTAAATTACTGAGATTAGAATCCTCAGTTTATTTTAAAACTTTTTTCTTAGCCTGCTTATATTTAAATTCCTTTTGAATGCTGTCTTAATAATGTTTAGTAACTTAAACCCTTTTCCTAGTACCTACTACTAAAGCTTTTTACCTATTAATGTTCAGTCCAGTCCAATTCAACAAGTACTTATTGATCACCTATATAAACAGCACTGATTAGGTTATTGTAAAAGCATTATAAACTTGTCTCTTCTCCCATGGGCACTGAGTCATTGGCATTTCAATCATTTACTCTCATGGTTAAGTAGACCATCGTTAGTGCAAGCACAGAATAGACTAAGCTGCTTTTCTAAGGTGTGCTCTGCATATATGTTTGAGATTTAAAATGTAAACAGATCAGTTTTGTTTACACCTCTATGCCCCATTGCCCCCCTCCAAGTGAGTGTTACGTGAATGTATGGAATCTGCATTTATATTGTTTTATATTTTACTCCAATCTTTCCAGTTCCCCAAAGATTACCATCATTCTTACATCTGAGTTTCTGCGTAGGTCTAGGATGGAGCCTTAGAATTGCGTTCTAACAAGCTCTCAGATGATGCCGATCCTGCTGGTCTCAGAACCACCTTTTGAGAACCACTGTCTTACATACTTTAAAATTCTTGAAGATAAGGATTACTTGGAAATCTACTACTGCTGCTTTTGTACAACTCTACATGTGGAAGTGTCCATCAAATAGCACCCACTTATTTTGTTTGTTTGTTTGTTTGTTTTCTTTGTAAGTCTTGAGGACCAAGCTTCATTGGCTTTATTACCATATCCTTAAGCTTGGGATAGTCTTGTTAAATTTGTTGCACCTACTATATCACTATCACCGCAAAGACGTTTGAAGAGAAAGGGGAGCTAATGTTTTGTCCTATATGCTTATAGGACCTGCTCAGTCTCCGTGTTTACTGTATGCTGGGGAAAGGATTATCTCTCAAAGGGTCACTTCTGACCCTACCCCCTCCACAGCAGGTGGCCCAGGGATCGGGACTACCTTGGAATCTATCTGAAATACCCTTTTAGCTAGTTAATATCTAAGCTACAAGGTTAATATCTTAAATATATATATATATTTCATATCTTTAAATAGATTTAATATTTAATACCTTTAAATAGATTTCGGGGCCATGAGCCAAGCAATACTGGTGACTTAACTTATTAACTTATTAAACTTGAGCACATAAGAGATGAGATGTCAAAAGTATGCATTAATGTGATTGATCCCTGAAGCAGGTGAGAATATTCTGTGTCTTGTCAACCTCTAATTTTTGTCCATTTTAGTCACGTTACTCCAAATTTCCATTAACTTTTTCCACACTCTCTATTTCAGATAATGCTACTTGAGACTGTTTCTTGTTCTGTTCTTACATTTATTTTATTCCTAATTCTACAACAGTGGCAACTTTCCTCCTGCTTTTTCTCTTTCTTTAGTGACTAAAAAAAGGCCTATTATAAATGGCTCCATCAAAACCTGAAAAAAACAGATGAACTGCTAATAACTTTATGTACACTAGTGGGCTTTTAAATACCCTTTCCTGCATTAGTCTTTATTTCGAACTTAATATATTATGTATATTAAAGTTGGAAATACATTTTTTAAATTATAACTTTTTTATAATTATTAACTTTTAAAACTTTTATTTTCCTAAGGAAGAAGAGACAGACAATGAAGAAAATTTTATTGATCTCAACGTTTTAAAGGCCCAGACCTATCGCTTGGTAAGTTACGTGGTATATACACAGGACCAACAAGCAATCAGTACAGATGTTCTGCTGGACATTAAACCAAGTAGAAACCATTGTTAGCCATTGTTTAGTGTATCATTCGAGAAGTCGCTCTCAACATTGTTTTCCTATATACAGACAAGTCTGGATCTAGTTTTGGGTTCATATGAAGAGTTCCTTGGCCACCCCGCCCCAGCATGACCTCGTCATTTATCATTTTCTGCCTTAGTAATGTTACTCAGCATTAGTTGTTATTATTAATGATATGTGTGTGTTTTCTGCCCAACTTGAGATGTAATATAACTTGCCTGAGTATGGGAGTTGATGCTAATACTTTTAATGCTTATTAGGTGTCTGACCTTGGGCAGATTTCCAATATTGTGCCTATCTTTCTCATCTGTAAAACGAGGATAAAAATATGTACTACCTTTTCACAGGGTTTTTAAAAAATAAAATAGTTACTACTTGTAAAGTATTTATAACAGTGTCCAGCACACAGGACGTGCTCAGTAAGTGTTAGCAAAAACCAAAACCGCATCTTCCCTTCCCATTCTCCCTCTCACATCGGATAACAAGGGTAGCTATCATTTTTTATACTCTATATTGTAACACAGAAAATACTGAATAATTCTTAAATGAATGAATACATTTTTTATTCCTCAATTCAAAATTATACCAGAATAATATGTTAACATTTAAATCTAAGCAAACCAACTCCAGTGATAATACATGTGCAGATCATTTTATAGCTTTCAAAGTACTTTTAAACACATCCTTTACTGACCTTGTGAAGTGTTTGGGTAGATGCTGTTATCTCCATTTTACAGATTCAAAAACTGAAATTTATAACCTTGGGACAGTTCATTTTTTAAAAAGCTAATAAATTACAGCAGCCAAATTTGAACTCAGTTTCCCCAGACTCTCAAGTCTATTGTTTTTTTTTTCCTTTGCCTCATAACATGAGTTCAGCAGGATAGCTATGGTTTGATTCCTGCCTTCAGCAGGGACACAGTGGTGTTTGGTTCCTTTACATGTCGAAGATGGTTGACCACAAAGTTCTAAAGTATGAGGAAGACAAAAGTAGAGATGCATACACAATTATTTTCAGAAAGAGACCGTCATTTGTGTCATTCATTCTTATATTGGTGATATAAATGGAGGCCTGTAAAGGCTTCCAGTGATTCCTCTGGGCCAAGGAGTTTGAGTATTGAGAAGGAGCAAAGGAATTTCATTTTCCTCTACCACTACTGTGTCCCTACTGGTCCCAATTTCAATTTTCCACCTCAGTTAAGCTACATAAGGAAGGGTTTTCTCCCTACCTGTGCCTTTATACATTATCAAAGTATTACATCCTTTGGATAAAAATTATATACCGCATACCCTTTCGAGTTAAGGCTATGTATGGCTGCATTTTCACAAGAGGAAGGTCTGAACACCAGGTGGTTGTGGTTGGTCAGCCATGAAGCACTAATGAGGCAGAAAACTCTTTCATATTTTAAAAAATCTGCCAGTATTGTTTCGTGAGTATGTTGCCCATGAAGCCATCTGCCCGAGACAGCTGTATCTGTCTATAACTTACGATGGCTCAGGCTGCCCTTTCCCCAAGACAGAATTGCTGTATAGGTTAATAACATAGATTGAAGAGTTTATGTTTCATGCAGCAGGTGGACTCACAATGCAGAAGAAATATTATTTGAGTAAAGTTGAATGAACGTGATGAATTCTTCACTAGAACAGGAATGGTGTATACTATGTGTGAAATCAATACACTAAATGTATATGTGACCATGCCAGCCCAGCAGTTTATGGATTACAGCAGGCCCTCTCTACCTGGGGCTTAGAAACAATAGATGCTTTTCCAATCAGTCTCTATCCCCTCATCTTGCATTATTTTTCTTCACAGAGCTTGGCATTGTATTAATTTCTGATTTGTTTACTGTCTATCTGAACCACTAAAATGCAAACAACTACAGAATGGCAGCATTTTTCACTGCCTTTTCACCTGTGCCTGGTGGGTAGAAAGTGCTCAATATTGGAAAATATTGAATGAGTATATGCATGAGTGAATGCTATTTTATATTTAGAATTTTATAGGCAAGGCATTGTTTAATCTTTAAGGAGAAAAGAACTTCTCAACAATAATTGTTTCTTCTATGCACCATGCAGGATAATGCACAAAAAATCTACTTATATTCCTTTATTTTATTAAATAAAATCTAGACCCTGAAAAATGTGCTCTTAAGTATCACGATAATTCCAGAAAATGGGTATACACAAGCATTTTCCTGAGATTTGTGGTAAATGGAGCAAGAGAGAATGTCAAAAAAAAGACACGTGTTGCAGATTGTGTTCTCGGGAAGTGGACACTGTGACAGAGCTTGGAGTGCAATATATTTACTGTGAAAGGAAGTGGGAATAAAGCAGGATTGGGCCAAGGAGAAGTCTGGCTGCAATTCAGGACTGGCAGAGCCTTGGCCAACCTGGTGAAAGGCTCTGGAGTAACTGCTGCCTGTGTGGTTCAGTTGCTGGAGGCAGGCTGCCCTGGGAAGGACATAGCCCCAGGTGATGTGGTGCTCTGCAGGTAAGGCAGAGCCTGGGGGCGCTGACAGCTGGAAGCTCTCTGCTGGCCACACTCCCTGCAGCTGAGCAGCACATCCCCTTGGAAGGCGACCTGGTGGTCCATCTTCCTGACTACCTTGACACATTTGAAGCCTGCTAATTTGAGAAATTTGTAGAGACATTGTGTGGCCATTGATTAAACTTTGAAATATCTGCCTAATTGGATCCTGACACAGCAGTATTGTTTCATGAACATTGAAAACAGTGTTCTAAGAAAATGGTTCCTCCTATCGATGATGAAAGCTTACAGTGATGGAACTGGTTTGTTTTGGAAGCAGGTGTTTTCAGAACATTTATTTACTTTGAAGTTTAAAAAATATATTTAAAGCCCCTCTTAATTGTGTGATTTCCCCCTCTACTTCTCTTATCCCAGTTATGGTTTTGCCAAATATACTTTCAGGCAGGTAACTCCTGCAGTTTTTAAGGGCTTGCTTTAACTTCCAAGGTTTCATTTGCCTGTTAGTTATTCGAGTTTTCATGTAGCTTTTCTTAGAAGGAAAAAAAATTATGGATGGGTGTTTGGCTTTAAGGCTATCCCACAAAGTTTTACATTCTTTCTGTCCCTCTGATTCCTGAATGTTTTGGAAATCTGAAATTTAGCCAAAGCCTCCCTAAGAGTGAGTACACTGGCGCTGTATTAAAGCTCTGACAGTTAGGCAGGGCCTGTGATGGTTAGGGGTGCACAGAATGTTCAGAGATGTGAGGGGTGGGAGCAAGGAAGGTGGCCAGGTATTAGGGAGGTGCTCTGCTCATTTCTATTCCTAATGTGAGTGTTCCCATTGGACATTGTGCACGTTCGTGGTAGCGACACTGTAATTATGAGCCGTCTTTGTAGCTCCCTCCGTTCTGAAGCTCAGTGGAATCACAGCGACAGTGTTCTCTGGCAGCATAACGCAGATGTGTCATTCTCCTCCCCCAGTGAAAAAGAGATGGGAGGGAAGCTGTGCGCTCTCTGAATTCTATTTTTAAATGCCCATCACTTCATTTCAAAACATTTTTTTAAACATGCCATAGATACCATTCTTCCTTGAGATGCTAAATTTGAGGTTTTAGAAACCAGCTCCTGAGTTAGACAGCATAAAACCAACTATCTCAAAAGGTTTAAACACAATTGGTTTTTAATTACTTAGCAAAACTTCATTGTACCAAGAATGAGAGAATTTTTAGCTTAAAAAGCAAAAACTGTAAAGAAGTAAAAATCTGGGCTTAGAATAAAAATGTCATTTCAGTTTTAAAGTGTCATCATGGCAAGTCTGCAATATTGTAATCAAAAAGGAGAAGATGGATCTACTTTGGTTAAAATCTTAAATACTTTAAATTTTCTTCAGTTTTGCATATAATTTACATTTCTCCACAAAATGTCCTGTCTGAGTAATATAGGGAAAAATACTGTTCAACGATATAACTTGCCCCATAAGTTACCACTGGTTCTGATTCCTGCTTGAGGAAAATGTTTTTTCTTCTTTCCTAAAACATTTGAATGTTAGTCTTGCTATCTGTGTTGTGACTGTGAGAGTCTAGTATTTCACAGGAGAAGCAATTAAAATGCCACATGTGTAAGTGTGATGGAACACAATATGACTGAGTCAGTGCTTTTCTTTCTCTGGTAACTAACCTGCGCCACCCCATCCGTTTTACACCTGGAGGTGAATAGGAAATGTAGGTTAGAAGAAAAAAGCTGCACTCCCCACTGCTCAGAGGAGGCTCAAACAGCAGTTCTTCCTGGGTATAAAAGAAGAGCTTTGCTTGATCTTTAATGTAGTTTTTGAATCTACACTTGAAATAGGAAAGATCCTTATTTTCATCCTGGTTTTATTGGAAGCCTAGCAAGAAGTAGGGCAAGGACTTTTCAAGGTCCCTTCCAAATCTGAGTCCAAACCTTCAAGGCAGATGCTATGGTGGAAATAGCAGCTGTAGATAAAATCCTGACTGCAACCCTAGCCATGTGACCATAGTGAATTAACCTCTCTGTGCCTCTACTTTCTCATCTGTAAAATGGGGATACAGTTCTTCCCAGGGTTGTTTTGAGATTCATATAACCTAAATTGTGGACAGCACCCAGTATGGTGCTGGCATAAATTTTGCACTTGATATCTTTCTTATTTTGTATGTTTCACTTTTCCTAGAGGTAGGGATTAGTTACCAGTATTATGTGCTGTGGGAGAATAGAAAAAGCTCCAATAGCTCAATACCAAATCAGTTTCTAGATTGCCATGAGTATTTCTGAGTAAGAAGCTTAATAGGATATAAGCTATCAAGAAGTTTCCATTTTGAAATTAGGAAGCCCTGGTGATACCTTGGTTTTATTCTTATAATCTGTCACATGATTTAATATTGAAGGCCCACTAGACTAAATCTACTGTCACATAAGGCCT